CCGGGAATACAAAATGACCCCAGGTGTACGGATAGGATTAATTTGTTTTTACAGCATATAATATAAAATAGCTTGCACCAGTCATTAATACGCGATCTTTGTCTTCGCTAGTTAACAAATTAACAGTGTTAGCTGACTAGCGTGTCTGTGGTATAGCGGACATTAAGCACTTCACTGTCGCAAGCAAGCAGAAGACTCAAGTTCTATTCTCGTTAAGGGATAATGTTTGTAGAGTGTCTTTGTCTATCCTGTGGAACAATATTATATCTCCCTCTCAGCCTGGGATGGCTCCGTCAGGCAGGGTCAAAGCCTGTCTTTTAAATGATTTAAATTGGTCACTTTTAAGGACAAGCGGGCTACCCCAGATTTCGGGCTTTCCAGAAATCTTAACCTACACCAAAAGTGGGCATTGCCCTACCTATAGGAGAAGTTTGGTTTCATTGGTTTTTTAATTATTTTTTTTTGGTTAATAAGAAAACTCTCCTTGTCTTTTAAAGAAACTGAGTAAGGGTCCAAAAACTTTACCTTCGATTTTCTTGAAACAGTATTTTTTGCAATGGCCCCATTGTGCTTAAAAGCGACCAATTGTGCGGATGAGGGCGTAAAAGAATCTACATAAAAAACTAGCTGATTTAATGTATCAGTCTTTCCATGCAAGCCGTGACCAAGATTTGAAGTAAGGATTAGAGTACTATAAAAACATTGGCACAGATATGAGTCTGGCAATGAAAGTGAATATTTCTATGTTTACTTGGCTGACCGAATAAGGAAAAAAGAACAATAAAGAACAACAATAAAACCAAAAGCCAACACCCCCCACAACAAAAAACTAAATAAAAAACCCAACAAAAATACCATACCAAAACAACCCCCCCCAATAAAATAAACAACAACAAAAATGAAAAAATGAATGAAAAAGAAAACCCAAACAAGAACCCCCCCCCCCCTTCCCACCAAGAGAAGTGCCCCGTATGTGTTTTGAGCTGGGGGTAACAAGTGTCTCGATAATGGACGCAAACTAGTTAGTTCTCTCGTTTTATCACGGAGCCACTTTAGTTTTTAGTAAGAGTTTGACGGGACTTGCAACATAATAAGGTTATATAAGTACCGAAGATTTGAGGTGTTACAGTGGGTTGTTGGCAGGTGCTCTGATGTGGTTTGCTCCTTCTTTGTTGTCAAACATCTATCGTCCTTATCTTCCCTCCTTCTTTTTTGTATTTGTTACTCTCTTGTAACACCCCTCATCTTCGACACTTATATATAAGCTTATTGTGTTGCAAGTGCCGTAAATCTCTTTCAAAACTGAAACTAAGAGATGCCTCAAGAGAGGTGTTACAGTGGGTTGTTGGCGGGTGCTCTGGTGTGGTTTTGCTTCTTCTTTCCTATCAAACATTTATCTTCCTTATCTACCCTCCCTTTTTGTTTGTTACTCTCTTGTAACACCTCTAATCTCTGGCACTTATATGACCTTATTGTGTTGCAAGTGCCGTCAAACGCTTACTACAACTAAACAAAGAACAAACGAATCAAACCCCCCCCCACCCCAACAAAAAACAAAAACAAAACAGAAACAACAACAACAACAAGACCCCCTCCCCAAAGAAGTCACGTGTGGTTTGAGCTGGGGTCAAACGTGTCTTGATGGTAGACACAAACTTGACGTGAGCACCAAATGTGAGGCAGCGTGGTGGAATCAGGCTCTCGTCAAAATAACCAAAGAGAAGAAACTTGTATTTTTCCGCAGGTTTGTGAATTTTTATCAAATTTTTGTTTTTCGGCTTAACTCTTTTCAAACCCATTAAAGAACTCGTTTATGTGTGGATTTTTCTGAAAAACGTTGATTAAAGATACAAAAAACATAAATTTTTAGTTGCCACGGACTCTTTAGCTAAGGAAATAACAAATCTTTGGCGGGCATTTTCTCACTAATTTTATCTCTGAAAATAGGTGAACCCCACCTCCTTCTTTTGCAAATATCTCGATTTGTATTCACGATAAATGGATTATTTTTTTCATCCATATAAAGACAAGTGAACAAGCTTTAAGATGACACCAATAACTCTACATGCCAAAAATTTGACGAGAGCCTGATTCCACCACGCTGCCTCACAAATGCAGTGCTGCGTCACTGAACTGCTCATCGGCACTATTTTGTGAGTTACATCTCACGTATCACGAAACCACTTTAGTTTTTTAAAGAGTTTGACGAGACTTGCAACACAATAAGGTTATATAAGTACCGAAGATTTGAGGTGTTACAGTGGGTGGTTGGCGGGTGCTCTGATGTGGTTTGCTCCTTCTTTGTTGTCAAACATCTATCGTCCTTATCTTCCCTCTTTCTTTTTTGTATTTGTTACTCTCTTGTAACACCCCTAATCTTCGACACTTATATAAGCTTATTGTGTTGCAAGTGCCGTAAATCTCTTTCAAAACTGAAACTAAGAGATGCCTCAAGAGAGTGACAAACACACACGAAAAAAGAAGGAGGAGATATCAGGACGACAGCAGATGTTTGATGCGAAAGAAGGAGCATTTTAAACCAAAGCAGTACACCCGACAACCACGCACACGAAGCCACTGGGTTTGTAATTGTCCCTGTTTTTTACGTTCCAATCAATCGACACAACTGAAAACAGATAGGAGACGACTGCTTCTCCTTAGTTAAGTGTTGTGCAGGGAGCAAAATGTTAATGTAGTTACCCTGCCTACGTACGCCCTGTCTTCTCTCTGTTATACAGTAATATAAATCCAACCCACTTTGAACAACAACTTTGGTGACCCCAATATCAAAGAAGGACGTCGTGTGGAGGGCAAACACAAGTTGTCCACTTAAGAAGGCTGAGGATGATATTATAATATTGTAATGTTATAAGTTATAAGGGAGAGCCAAACACCATCACCACTCACAGTCACAGTCACACCAGAGAGCTCTCGCAATGGAGGGAAACAGACGACACTTGGGGCTTGTTCTGCTTAGTGAGTTTTTATTATTGTGGCTCTAGAAACTGTTTCGATATTTATTGTTGTTGTTGTTGTTGTTGTTGTTGTTGTTGCTGCTGCTGCTGCTGCTGCTGCTGCTGCTGTTGTTTTTGTTGTTGCTGCTGCTATTGTTGTTGTTGTTGTTGTTGTTGTTGTTGTTGTTGTTGTTGTCATCGTCAGCTTTCTCCCTCCCCCTCCTTTTCCTCCTCCTTTCCCTCTTAACGACATCAGCGATTATAATGATGATTACGTTTTGAAGAAATATCGTTTTTCTTTTTAATATCATCATTATGAATATTATCATGTGCCCTCAAAGATTGTCCAAATTGCCATCGTAGTAAAATCTTTGCACCTTTGTAAGCATAATACACATGTACTTCAACAACGTCTGAAATCTTAGAATGACTTATACATGCTCTTTGATTTTCCTTAGGAAAGAATATTTTGTAATGAAAACATAATTTTGGGATTAATAAAATATACACATGCGTTCTGATGCCCGTGAAAACACGCTTGCTTGCATACTTTCTCTCATATTCACTCGCTCACGTACACACATGTACATACACGCTCTGCCACTTAATCACACACACGCACATACACACACTCATTACACACATGCACATACACACTCTGCCACTTACTCACACACACCCATATATACACACATACACACATACACGCACACACATACGCACACATACAGACACACTCACACATATAGGTTACACTCACAAACTCACACTCATACACACACAAATACACATACATTCTCACACACACACATACTCACACACATACAAGGACACACTCACACACACACTCACACACATACAGGTACACACACACACTCACACACAGGCACACACACACACACACACACACACACACACGTCGGTAACAACATCAATAGGCTACTGCTACAAGAAGAACATAGTGTAATTTGGGATCATATGGGAGGATGCTTCTTCTACTCTGCCTGTCAAGGCCAACCCGGGATGAAAAAGTTCCCATACAACACCCCAGCACATGGACAGAGATATTCTATTTTAAAAAAAGACTCCACCATCAAGGAATTCCCCACTTAGGAATCGAACCCACGTCTTCTGAGAGCTGTAAAGACCTTGAATATTCACGCAGAGTCGTTGAAAAAAAGGACAGTGTCGGCGAAATTTGTTGCCAAATTTTAATGTCACTGGCAGGAGCGCACTCTAGGTACTGCCTTAGCACTTCGCTACCCCCCTAGAGTTACAAAGTCTTAGCTGTTCTGTTCCTAGTATTGAGAAATGTGACTTATAAAAGTTTGAGTTTTTCAACATGTCAAGGTTTTTCGAACGCAATTCTTTGAATATCTTGATAACGACTCCGAGCAGACAGAACATTTGGTTTCAGACCTCATTGTTTCCGTAACTTTAAACGGCCAAAAATGTCAGATAGAGCTTTGTAATTCTGAAGTAGAGACATGTTACTGTATTGTTGTAACTGTGTGGCATCATCAATAACCCACACCTTAGCAGGGACTGTACCCACCATTTCGGAACTTCATGGTGACCGTAAAGATGGTTCCAGTAGAGGAAAAGGATAGAGGGTGCCCACATCCCTCGTGACTCATTGGGGCAAAGGAAGATAGGACTTACGCTAACATTACTTAAACGCAATCCCACATCATCATTCAACAGCACCGTTATATCTAAAATTATCAACGCTCTCAGATCAATGACTTACATCTATAATCCTGGAATCTCTCTCTGCTATTAAAGTTACTTGTTATACTAAGTAATGACGTAATACACTATTGGACTCTTTATCATACGCAATTTTTTCTACTAATCAGTTGGCGTCAATCTCATATAAATGGGCAAGGGATTTAAAAAAACCAAACCAAAATGAGTGGTATAATCGTGAAGCTAGGCGCTTGTCAAAATAACGAAATCGAAGAAACGCACATTTTCACGCCCATTAGGCAAAAGCGGGCTCAACATCTTTTATGTCGATTGAAAAACACATTTCTGTGTGAATGTTATTGAAAGTAAGTTAGTAAGTAAATTTGTTCAGTGCTTAAAGCCATTTCCCACACAACATCATAATATGTGAGGCAGCGTGGTGGAATCAGGCGCTCGTCAAAATGGTGAAATCAAAGACATTGGCATTTTTTTCTGACCTGTGGGCAATTTTTTTCTATTTTTCTTTTTTGGATCAACGCCTTTCAAATCCGTTTAAAAACACATTTCTGTGTCGATTTTACTGGAAAAACACCGATTAAAGGCACAAAAAATGTCAATTTTCAGTTTCCAAGGACTTTCAAGCTATGGAAATTACCAAAATTTTGCGGCAATTTTCTCGCTAATTTCACCTCTGAAACCACGTGACATGGGCTTGCTTCAGTTGCAAATATTTCGACTTCTATTTAACATAAATATATATATTTTTTTCACCAAAAGCAAGGCAAAAGAATAGGCTTTAAGATGATACCAATAACCCCGAACACCCCCAAAATGACGAGTGCCTGATTCCACCACATAGCGACACATATGGTCGCTTTTAAAGACAAGCGGGCTAACCCAGATTTCGAGGGTTTCCAGAAATCTTGACCAACACCAAAAAAGGGCTTTGCCCTACCTATAGAAGTTTGGATTTATTTGTGTGCATATTTGTTTGGCTATAGAGAAAACTCTCCTTGTCTTTTAAAGACACTGAACGAGGGTCCAAAAACTTTATCTTCGATTTTCTAGAAACAGTAGTTTTCGGGATTGCCCCCTTGAGCTTAAAAGCGATCATATAAAACACTCATTTGTTACATACAATTTCCATCATGACAAATAATGATGTTATTGAAAAACGTGGTTCAAAGGCGCGCATAAACTATGACATCGTGTGTCCCCAAAAGAGTGCAGGCCTGATGTGGATGTAACGCGCACTGGAGTCGCCTACTTGAGACACTTCCCAAGGTCAAGTGGCGCGCACGAGGGGGCTGAAGGTTTTGTTGCTGGGGAGAACGCGATCGCGCGCTCTCTCTCTCTCTCTCTCTCT